TATATATATATATATATATATATATATATATATATATATATATATATATATATATATATATATATATTCTATCTATGTGTATATATATATAAATATATATATATATATATATATATATATATATATATATATATATATATATATATATATATATATGCATATATATATATATATATATATATATATATATATATATATATATATATATATATATATATATATATATATATATATATATATATATATGTATATATATATATGCATATATATATACATATATATATATATATTTATATATTTATATATATATATACAAATAGATAGATAGATAGATATAGATATATATATGTATAAATATATACATATACACACACACGGATACATCTATATCTATATACATCTATCTACATATATCTGTATATATACACATACATATTTATACATATACACATACATGCATACATATATATATATATATATATATATATATATATATATATTCAAATATATGTATATACATACATATATATATATATATATATATATATATATATATATATATATATATATATATATATATATATGTATATATATATATATATATATATATATATATATATATATATATATATATATATATATACATATATATATATATATATATATATATATATACATATATATATATATATATATATATATATATATATATATATATATATATATATATATATATATATATATATTCTATCTATGTGTATATATATATAAATATACAAATATATATATATATATATATATATATATATATATATATATATATATATATATATATATATATATGCATATATATGTATATATATATATATATATATATATATATATATATATATATATATATATATATATATATATATATATATATATATGTATATATATATATGCATATATATATAGATATATATATATATATTTATATATCTATATATATATATACACATAGATAGATAGATAGATAGATAGATATAGATATATATATGTATAAATATATACATATACACACACACGGATATATCTATATCTATATACATCTATCTACATATATCTGTATATATACACATACATATTTATACATATACACATACATGCATACATACATACAGGCTCACAGATCAAAGGAGGAGGATCGGCCCTTCTTCCCCCGAGCTCTGCATGTACTAAACCATCAACGTCAATAGATAATAACTCTCACTGATCCTCTTGTGAACTAAAAGTGAAAGTGCTTTTATTGTAACTGAAAGCTTTCGGGCTATAAGTTTTATCAAATTAAAAAAAGAAGAACGAGAGAGGGAGAGAAAGGATTAAAAATAACATATTCACTGAAGGAAACCATGACAACAGGATGAAAATAATTGATATTTTTTGTTCCTTTAAGTGTCAGTTGGTTGAAATATGTGTTGGTATAATGTTTTTTTTTTCTGATTATATTAAAAGTAGCTATCCACCTTTGATCCCGTATTTCCGTTTAATTAATCATTCATTGAAGCATTTTATCCTTGCATTATTTCCTGGTGGCATATTCGCGAAATAATACATGGACGGAGCTCTCGTTGGCGAATAATAAATTCAGGAGTGAATATTTGTTTCGAATATATTTTCGTAGTGAATTATGTTCTTTTGCAGGTAATCGTTTTATTGGGAAATGCGGTGGGAGGATCATAGATTATTAAAGTGGAACGCCCTGTGCAACAAGTGGTATTCCATTTTTGTTATTGTAATATATTCATTACCGATAACTGAGCAGGGAATAGAGAAAATAGCGAACTTTGATACATCATTTTAACATTTGTTGCGATATTACATTACAAATTTGAGATCTGACGTTAGCTACGCCTGCAGAATATCAGTAATAATACAATAATCACACGTCATGTTAGGTGATTTTTATTATACATGATACAAATATTACATTCCACACTGTTTGTCTTACACTTCATTTACATTCTCGTTAACCTCTTTGTATATATCCAAATCTAATCCACACAATCTTTCTTTACTGGAAGTTACGAAAATTTGTGAAATCCTAGCAAGAGGTATATGTGTAGAGTCAATATTCTCACTGATATATCATATGCTGACTGCTAAATGACCTGCATGATCGTCAAAACTTCTTGGTGATATAAAATTCTGTTTCTGTGTATTGTTCAAACGCAACCTGTTCTGCTCTCAGCTTGTTTAATTCCCTTAGCAGAACATTTGTATACGTTATTTATAGTGTTAAGATGCCTCCTGCTCATTTCTATATGCACTGGTGATACATTTCGGTAGCTAATTGCAACAAGTAATATTAGATATGATTGTTCTTCCAAAATGTACTACTCTTGTTTTGCATTACTCATAGAACACTATAGGACAAAGTGGTTTTCTGCTTTCCTTAGCACCATTTAAACAAAATGATCTTTATTTGATTTCGAGCAGATCAGGTGTGTTTAAGTAAAAA